GGTGGCCACAGAGCTGACCTGACCAACCCTCCTCCTGAAAAGGAGTTGGAAGGTGGTCTCCAGAACCCACCCCAGTCCACCTGAGGCCTTCCAGAACCCATTCCCTTCCATTTGTCATTTCAACTGGAGGGCAAGGGCTCTCAGAGATGCTTCTGGCTACTGGAGACCAATACACATGTGTCAAAGCGCCAGTATGTGCCAGGTTCCACCACAGCAAGTGTTCTCGGCATGCTAGAAAATCTTGGATAACTCCCTCCCTGTCCCTTGCTTCAGTCCGAGGACTGTTGAAAGACTGAACTGGGGGTGGGAACCACCGAGGATTTTCTGAGCACACTGGAAAACCTGAAGGTCGGCCCGGGGTCTCGTGGGGGACATTCAAGAAGGCGCAGGGTCCCATGTCCCCAGTTTTACTGCTGTTGGTCACTACTAACATTTGCTTTGTGGGCCATTTCAATATTTGTTTGGTTATAAATGCCCACATAAGTAGCTCTCGGCCCCAGGGCATCATGACCTTGGAAGCACTTGGTGCTCAGTGTTGGAAAGCAACCCAGAGAAGATGGCCAGCGACATCTTCATGTGGAGAAAAGAGAAGGGGAGGATGCATCTGGGGCATTTCTGGAAAGAAGGCAGCATGGGAAAAAGAGAGCTCCACTTCCTGATTATAAGCAAGGACTTGAGACTTGGCAGCATGACCTCTGCAGGTGACCTCACCTGGGAAAGAAAGGACGTGGCTTGAATCAGTTGTTCGCAACCTTGTCTCTCCCCCATAAAACTTCTCCATCCAAAGAAATCTTACTCAGAAAACGGTCTCAGACCTGCCTGTGGGAGGATTCCCTCGCTGGCCAGAAAGTATAGGACCAATGCCCGCTGGAGATTGTACCATTTGTTTCTCCCTCTCACCCATGCCCAGATACCCATAGGGTGCCCAACCTCTGCCCTATGGGGATCCTTGCAGTCCCAGCAGCCCAGAAACCCCCATCCAGGTGCCAGGGTCAGAAGTCACAGATACCTGGTGACGTGGCCAAGACAATGGCCAGGTTGCCTCTGCTATGAGGCAGTGCAGGCTCTTACATCATTATGTGTTCCCCAGGACAGAAATGAGGGGCTGGGGCTGACCCCCAGATACAATTGTCGTGTTTACTTCCTGGGTCAGCCATAACAAAGTACCACAAGCTGGGGGTGCTTAAATAACAGGAAGGTACTCTCCCAGCTGGGGGTCCAGCATCTAGGTGTGGGCAGGACTGTCCCTCCTGAAGCTTCCAGGGAGAATCAGCTCCCGGCCCTCCCAGCTTCTGGTGGTTGCTGGTGATCAAAAGGCCTCACTGGGGTCCCTCAGGGGTGGAAGGTGCTGCTCAACAGACAGCAGGACCTGCCTCCCAGGGTTCCCCTACTCTCCCCAGTAGGAAGAGGGGTCATGAAAGTGGGCTCCCATGAGTGGCCCCCCAAGTGCCAAGCCTTGGGCGCCATGCTTGTGCACGACAGTGCATTTCCTCTTGTTGATCTATGAGGGAAGGATGACACGCCCAATTTACAGAGCAGGAAACAGAGGTCCCAAAAAGCCAAAAAATTTTACTCAAAGTCCCACAGTTAGGCAGGATTGTTCTAAGCTTATTTGACTTCCAAGTCCTTGTTCTTCCTACAGGAATGTACTCTCTCAGCTGGAGGTCCAGCATCAAGGTGTGGGCAGGGCTGGTCCCTCCTGAGGCTCGGAGGGAGCATCAGCTCCTGGCCCCCCCCAGCTTCTGGTGGTTGCTGGACATCTCTGGTGTCCGTTGTCTTGTAGAGGCATCCTTCTGGCTCTGCCATCATCTTCACATGGTTTTCTCCGTATGTGTGCTTGTGTGTACGTCTGTGTCTATATCCAGATTTCTTCTTTTTCCTAAGGACACCAGTCATAATTGATTAGGGGCCTACTCTACTGAGCATGATCTCATCTTAATTAACTACATCTGCAATTACCCTATCCTGAAATCAGGTCACATATGGAGATTCTAGGAATTAGGACTTTAACATGGATTTGGGGCGGACACGATTCAATCCGTAACGATTCTTTTTTTTATGTGTGTGTGTGTGTGTGACAGAGTCTCACTCTAGGCTGGAGTGCAGTGGTGTGATCTCAGCTCACTGCAACCTCCGCCTCCTGGGTTCAAGCAATTCTCCTGCCTCAGCCTCCCTAGTAGCTGGGATTACCGGCATGTGCCACCACGCCCGGCTAATTTTGGTATTTTTAGTAGAGACGGGGTTTCGCTATGTTGGCCAGGATGGTCTCCATCTCTAGACCTTGTAATCCACCTGCCTAAGCCTCCCAAAGTGCTGGGATTACAGGCGTGAGCCACTGCACCCAGCCCACAACAATTCTTAATCAACAGGTAAGGCACGTGTAAGTGAGGCATGAGTCCCAACTTCGTTATCTCATTTGAGGAACGAAGGAGCTGGGCTGCTGCTTCTCTTCTTTCATATGTGTTGCAAAGCAAGAAGCTTCATTTCCAACTAAAGCAGGACTCCCACCATCTCTCCTGGCTGGGAATGGAGCATCCAGACTTTTGCTGCAGCTCATCTGGGAATAAAAGTGATACTCCTGGACTATGAACTCCACCCCTTTCCCAGGAGAAAGCAAAATGGTGTGTTGAGTGGAGTGTCAGGGGCTCTTCAAGCCTTCAGGGGAATTTGGCCATGCCTTTCTCCTTAGAAGCCCAATGTTGGAAACTGGTAGAAGGGGTGTTCCCTGGGGGAAAGGAGTGAGCACCTGAGCACCGCACTGGGCCGTAGCCCTGCGCCTCCCTCACTGTGCCTTGTAAACCTCTGCAGGCCCCTGGAGCACACAAGGTGCCATTGCCTCCAAGAGCACGTGCGTGCTTCGGGGAAAGCACTTCTAAGCACCCATCACATAGAATGCGGCCACCTGCCCCTGGAAGTTCAAAGGGCCTCACTGGGTTCCCTCAGGGGTAGAAGGTGATGCTCAACAGATAGCAGGACCTGCCTCCCAGGGCTCCCCCACACCCCCCAGTAGGAAGAGGGGTCATGAAAGTGGGCTCCCATGGATGGTCCCCCAAGTGCCAAGCCCTGGGTGCCATGCCTACGCAGGACAGTGTATTTCCTCTTGTTTATCTGTGAGGGAAGGATGACATGCCCAGTTTACAGAAGAGGAAACTGAGGTCCCAAGAAGCCAAGAAATTTTGCTCAAAGTCCAAAAGCCAGACAGGATTGCTCTAAGCCTTATTTGACTTCCAAGTCCTTGTTCTTCCTATAGCACCAACCTACCATTTATAATATGATGCTGAATGCATTTCCTCCTCCAGAGGTTGATCAAAACTAAATCAGGAAATCAGTGGTGCCTACAGAAACCGGTGTTTACGATTCACATCTTTCAAGGCAAGAATGGGAAGCAAATGCTTCTGGGGGATCGTGATGACATGGAGGTGAATTCCTCCAGCAACTGTGATTGTGGAGTTACTGCGTGGTGAGATAAGTAAGGGAGGGCATCTGAGTTAAAAATAAACATTAAAAAATGCTCCCGAACACAGTTTGGAGATTGAAGGCATACAGGAAACTGGGACGCTGATCAAGCCCCAGTGGGACAGACTATTCCGAAGGAAGCCCCGAGGAGAAGCATGACTCCACCTGCCCCCTTCTGCCGGAGGAGTAGAGGCACCCTGGCAGCTTCACTCGTCCAGGCTGGATGGAGACATAAATGTTCCCGCACCAAAGCATTCAGAGCTAGGTTAGCAAAGTACAGACAAGAAGAAAGGACAGCAGTCACAAAACCCATCTTTCTAGCTCTTCCTTAGATCTCAAAGTGAGCTCAGTAGCAACTGGGGTAAAGTACGCACTCCTACTTCAGCAAGGACGAATCATAAGATGACCCCCATCCCATCACCGAGTCCCCTCATTTTCCGCTTTTCTCTCACTGGCTCCCCAATCCCAAGCGTACCTCTGCTTCAACATCCACCCCTCCTCGCTTCTGCCTTTAGCTCCTACCCGAGTGGATCCTGTCGGGCCTGTGAACCCCTCAGCCACAGGTGCTGTTTCTCCAGGGCCCTCCATGGGTTCCTGGGCTTTCCAGGGCTCCTCATGCCCTGAGCCTACTGAGGACAAGCCTCCAGGAGCTAACTGCAGACAGTGCTCCAGGCACTCCGGGTAGACAAGGTACTGTGGTCTCTGTCCAATACCACAGGTCATGAGGCTGAGACAGTTTCACCAAGTTCAAGGACAGGCACTGATGATTTGCTTCGGTTACCCTGTGAGAGTTAAATGACAGAATCATGTGGCTACTCTCATTTTTTCCCTTCCCCTCCCCCTCCCACTCCCCCTCCCCTTCCTCCTCCCCTCCCCTCCCCTCCCCTCTCCTCCCCTCCCCTCTCCTCTCCTCTCCTTTCCTCTCCTTTCCTTTCCTAGACAGGGGTTTGCTCTGTCACCCAGGCTGGAGTACAGCAGTGCCATCTTGACTCATTGAAGCCTCAATCTCCTAGGCTCAGGTGATCCTCCCACCACAGCCTCCCAAGTAGCTGGGATTATAGGTGTGTACCACCATGCTTGGCTACTTTCTTGTATTTTTCATAGAGCCAGGGTCTCACTATGTTGTCCAGGCTGGTCTCGAACTCCTGAACTCAAGCAATCCACCCACCTCAGGCTCACAAATTGCTGGGATTACAGGCATGAGCCACAGCTGATTTTTTTCTTTTCTTTTTTCTTTTCTTTTCTTTTTTTGAGTCTCATTCTGTTGCTCAGGCTGAGTGCATTGGTGTAATCATGGCTCACTGTAGCCTTGACCTCCGGGGCTCAGGTGGCCCTCCTGCCTCAGCCTTCTGAGTAGATAGGATTACAGGCATGTACCACCATGCCTTGCTTTAATATTATTATTAGTATTATTAGTATTATTATTATTATGATAGGTCTTGAACTCCTGGACTCAAGCAAACTACCCACCTCAGCCTCCCAAAGTGCTGGTGTTACAGGTGTGAACCACCGTGCCCAGCCCCCATCCTCATGTATTCTGCGAATATGAGAAATTGTCCAGGAAGCCCTCCCTGCCTACTCATGAGGTGAGGCCAGACTCTGCCGCCTGCAAGACCCGCTCAGCTCTGTGCACAGCGCCACACCAGCCACACTGGAGCTGCCCAAGACTGTGGTCAGCCTATCTGCTTCCATGGAAGCAACTGGAGAGAAGAGTGAGAAATGAAAGTCAAAAAGTTGTGTGGTGAGGTGGGGTGGGGGATCCTTTCCTGTAGGACATGAGAAAACTGGATGGTGAACGGCAGCGTTTGAGGAGGACCATAAGTAGGCACTTGTCTTTTTGTATCTATGTAAAAAAAAACATAATTTTAAGAAAGAAATTGAGGTGTATCATTTTAAAAGTCAGAAACTTTCATCAAACTCTACCTCTGCTATCTACCAGGTATTTGCACCTCTGAACAAATTATTTCACTTATATAAACCTTTATTTCCTCAACCCGTAAACTTGAGATAATAAGTCTTGTTTCCCTCACCTCAAAAGATTGCTGGATGAGCCTATTATATTGGGAATTAAATGTAGGTTTGGTTTTTTCTGGCGAAGTATAAAGCACTATAAAAATGCAGGGTATTTATTCTTGCCCTATGGTAAAGAGAAAATTAGAGTAATTGGTGCTATTATACTCATATTCTACTCCTAGCTTTTGTCAAAGATTTAGTGTAGATTATATAAACTCTTAAAAAGCTTTATTGTATTTGATCAACAAAAAAGTCTGTTTAAAATATGTGATTCCTGAGAAGTAATATGTTTATTAAAACCAAATAAATGCATCCATTTATAAATGTAAAATACATTTTTACATAAATGTATAAAAGCATCCAGAGTCTACCATTTTCAAGGGACCATTGCAAGGATCCAGGGGCACTGTGGGGCTGGAAGCCTCCTTGAACTCTGAAAAGCAATTCACGTATTAGCTGTGGCTGCTATTATGATTAGTGCAAGCTGCAGGCAGCAGCGTGGCCAGCCCTGAGTCCACCAGAAGGAGATGAATCACACCACCAGAGGCTCAGGGGAGAGATAGGCTGTGAGGGGACAGCGGGACGATTGCCATGAAAGGGAGGACGATGGCAGAGAAGGGAGGAGATGGGCATGGGGTTGGGGGAGCCACAGGGACAGAGAGCATGGAGGGACCCCAGCAGAGAGTGGCAGAGTGGCACTCAGAGAGACCCTCGCCGCCCCTAGTGGATACCGTTTCCCTCCCTCAAAAGACAAGGAGCACCCGAGCAGGGAAGGGGAGCCCCCAGGAGCACTCAGCCAAGCATTAGTCGGGAACTGGAACCAGCTGCTGAGGCTCCCGTTCTACCCCAGGGCACTGACAAGCCATGAGGCTGTACATCCTAGATATTTACCCACCTCACTTCCTGGTCTTCAAGACTGCAGCTGCCAAAACCTTGTCATCGTCCTATGAGTGTTTTCAAGGGATTCAGCTCTACCAGTTTAATGCAAAGACAGTGTCACATTTATATCCTGGAACCCATCCAGATGCTCCGGAGGCCAGAACACCCCGCCAGGAGAGGATAATGAAGCAGGTGACACCTACGAGGGTTGCAGGCCCAGCTGACAACCCCCCACCCCCAGCCTGAGTTGGCAACTTTTGGACATATTCCTCAGCTTGGGGGCAGAAGAGGCCGCTAGGGGCCCCCTGAGGTGCTGTTGTCTTCTGAAAGCTCCCTCCGTTCTGGTTGTGCTGAGCAGGGAGGTCAAAGCCTCTTACTCCAAAAAGTCAGCAGATCATTAGTCTAATTAGCATAATAAAGCTGGCATTTTCACATGGCTCTGAGCCCAGAGTTAAAGTAGCCTACCGTTGTGCAGGGTGTGGACTGCACAATCCAGGGGTTCCCATTCCCACGGACTTGCTAGACATGGTACCCCCCACGGGCTGTTTAGTGTCCAACTTGTTTAACCCCGAGCAGGGTCTGGAAGTTAGGGACCTACAGGCTATGGTGGTGTAGGGAGGAAAATGGGCATACCTGCTGGTGAAGACTGCGGGAGGTCAGTGTTTAGGGAGGAAAGAAAATCAACAGGAACCGTTGAATACGGGTTTGTTCCACTTTGTTCTCCAGGATTTTCATTCCTTGGCCACTTGCTTCCGGGAATTTATTCCCTTGTCTGAAAACACCATTATCTCCGTTGTTCCTTGAAAACAAAGAACAGAAACATAAGAGAAATCCTTTCATTACCTGGTACAGGGCTACCCATGGACACAACAAGGGGCTTGTGGGAGCAAACAATGGGGGATTCATTGACCCCACTGAAAGAAATGTGCACAAGCAGGCGAACCGACCCACATCTTTTTCTGTTTGTTTGTTTGTTTTGCTTTTGCAATATTCTAGCCAGGAAAAAAGCAAGTTTGATTCACAGGAGGAAAAAGCAGTTGGAGACTTAACTTATGCAAACTGATGTGATATTTGCACCAATATTCTAAAAAGGAGCCCCGTGCATGCTGACCCCTGCCCACACAAGAAAGGAGGCCTAGAAAAAGTGACCATGAAAGGGGCAAGGAGAGTTTCTAAGATGATACCTAGTTACAAACCAGCCCAAGCTTCACCTCAATGTTCTTTTCAACTGTTTCCACCGTTCTGAAGGTGGATGGCAGACAAAACCCTGGCCAGTCTCTGCAGCCATGTAGACAAAAACTACAGGCTCAAGCAAAAGGGCTGGTGCTCAGTGAGAACTGCCCAACTCTCCCCAGCTCTCCCAAACCCCCTTTGTCCATTAAGCAATTGGGAAGTGGAGAAAAATATTTGCAGACACAATGTGGTCTGAGGTTGATACATTCTTATCTAGGGTAGATTCATCTTGGATAAACAGACACTGTTCATTTTCCTCAGACACAAGGCATTTCATGCAGCTTCAATGACAGAGCTGCTGCTGCTCCAAGTGGGGGTACGTGGAGAGGGACATGCAGAACAGTCACGTCCCCCCTTCTGCAAGCTAACTGGTGCTGCTTCTCAGAAAGGTTACCATCCCTGGGAGACACTGCAGGGTCCCCTGTGAAAAGCAACCTCACTCTCCCAACATGACTCCAAATGCTCAAAGACCGTGTGGGTGGATCAGGGCAGCCCTCCCTGCTGCTGCTGCAGAGCAGAAGGAGCTTCTCCTTCATTCTAAGATTCAACAACTACTCATTGAGCATTTAACCAGTTTCTGCCAGTAGCCAGTTGTGCCTCAGTTTCCTCATCTGTAAGGGGTGACCGTTGTTAGATCTGCCTTGCATGATGTTGCAAAGATTCAATGAGCTGATACCGTAGCTGCTTAGAGGAAGCCCAGTCAACATGGGGCTGTCACAGAGATTCAATGAGCTGATACTGTAGCTGCTTAGAGGAAGCCCAGTCAACATGGGGCTGTGGTGAAGATTCAATGAACTGATACTCTAACTGCTTAGAAGAAGCCAGGTAAACATGGGGCAGTCATAGAGATTCAATGAGCTGATACTGTAGCTGCTTAGAAGAAGCCTGGTCAACATGGGGCAGTCATAGAGATTCAATGAGCTGATACTGTAGCTGCTTAGAAGAAGCCAGGTAAACATGGGGCAGTCATGGAGATTCAATGAGCTGATACTGTAGCTGTTCAGAGGAAGCCCGGCTCAACATGGGGCGCATGCACTGTCAGCCTCTATGACCACCTGCGGCGTCCAAAGGCCCTTGTGCCACAAGGTCAGAGCATGGGATGTCATGGGACAGAATTCCAAGGATTAATCCGTGAGTCTCCATTGCCCTCCATATGCTTTCCTTCATGGCATCCCAGTGGCTCCTCTTAGGAGGAAATGAGAAGCAAAGGCTACAGGTGCTCACACCGAGTGTTCTTGGAAAAGCTGTCGACCTGAGCGCCAGGGAGATAATTCCAGATGCGGGCACCACTGGGATTGGTTTTCTCCTCCCTCCTGGTGGGGATGGAGAGCAGAGGATGCAGGTGGGGTGGTGGGGTGAGGACCAGGAGGACAGGGAGTGTGTGAGAAAAACCTGCCAGGGTTGATGAGCCCTCCCTCAGTCAAGTAGTCTTGGGGAAACGGAGTCAGTGTCCAGGGGTTCTGCTTCTGGCTGGCTTCACGGGACCACCAGCCAAAAGCAGCCAGCCATAGTCTGTGTCTCAGAAAATGTCCAATGGCACTGGATGGTCACCAGCCCTCTAGAGCACAGGTCGGGGCTGGGGAACTTGACGAGCAGACTGGGACAGCCGGCGACCAGTCATACGCCTCAGGGGTAGCAGCGTGACACAGCACCTGTCCTGGAGGTGCTTGGGGCAGGACCAAGTGAAAGCCTGCGTGAGCACAGTGGGGCTGGTGTGAGAGCAGATGCAATGCGGTTTACGGCTAACGAGCCATCAAGAGATACTGATGTGTATGGGTGTGCTGTATATGTGTCTGTATGTGATAGTATGTGATGTGTTTGTGTGGTATGTAGTGTGTATTGTGTGTGTAGCATTGCATGTGCAATGTGTGTGCCATGTGTGGTGTGCAAAGTGTGTGCCATATGTGTGGTGTGTGTGATGTGTGTGTGGTGTGTGGCATGTGTGTCCTGTGTGCTGTTTGCGTGTGTGATGTGTGGTATGTAGTGTTGCATGGTGAGGGAGTATATATGATGTGTGTGTGGTGTGCGATGTGTGAGTGTGTGATGTGTGGTGTGTAGTGTGGTGTGGTGGAGTGTATATGGTGTGTGTGGTGTGCGATGTGTGTGTCTGGATGTGTGATGTGTGGTGTGTAGTGTTGTGTGGTGAGGGAGTGTATATGATGTGTGTGTGATGTGTGCTTGTGTGTGTGGAGGTTGAGTGTGTACGTGTGTGTGTGTGTGTGTGACGGGGGAGAATGGCGTCTCTGGGCCTGGGGTGGTCAGGGAAACCCTCCTGTGTGCACCAGGACCTGGTGAGGCTTCTCCAGCAGGAGGAGAAATGGAACCCGATATGAGCAGCTGTTGGGAAAAAAGCCCAAGACGACTTACAGTGCATCTGTGGAGCACAAGTCAGGGCCTGGAAGAATGGAGGACGCCATTGCATGAGTAACTGAGCCTGAGAGCCCGTTTCCTCATTTGTCGGGTGGTCACAATGAAGATAGCTTTGGGCTATTGTGGGTTAGGAGAACCTGACTGCTGTAGCTGTCATATCTGCTACCCAGAAGAGCTCCGAAGAGTTGCTGTTGAAGCCCCTGATGATACTGTTCATCCATTGTACCCTGCAATATCATTATTTTAATATTGTAAGCTATGAATGCAGTAAAATATTTTATTCAAGTATTGAAATCATCTAAGCTTCCTATTCCCTAGAGATGCACGAATAACAGAGCTCTGATGCTTAAGTTTGTATAGGATTTTACATTTTGCAAAATATTCTCAAATACAAAATTATCTCATGTCAGTTACTTTCCCCTGCCACTGCCAGTTAGTCTCTGGCTAGTGATGTAACCCTTTTGTACCCCAGATTCCTTATCTGTTAAAATGAGGTTGATAGGAGGGTTAGATGACTTAGTAAAGGTAAGGCGTTGGCATTTGTATACAGTAAGTGCTCAATAAATTAGTCAGCAACAATAAATGTTGCTCTCTCTGGGTAAGTTCTCTGTTTTGCCTGAGATGCTTGGTCCTGGGGTTTCAGAGTCAGTCATCCTCATCGATAGAAGACAGACATGAAAGTGGGCCTGAGAACATGCAAAGGACATAAAAAGGAAGAAAGGGGAGAGAAAGGGAGGGAGAGAAGGAGAGAAAGAAGGGAAGAGAGAAGGGAGAGAGAGAGATTGAGATTGAAGGCTAGCGAGGCCATGTGCAGAAAAGATAGCCAAGATCACCAAACCAGGCATGGCCCCATATACATGCAATTTCCATTTACCTTTTCTGTTTTCTTTTCTGGCAGAATGTATAAGCATATGGAAGTCAAGACCTAAGCCCAGCATCTTCCTGTGTTCTCTCTGGCTGGAGTGACGATTGAAGATCATTTAACCTGAATGTCCACATTGAGATCTGCTCATACTAACAGCACCTTCAGAATTGTATACATTAACAACCCAATTTTTTATAGATATGGTAGCACAAAATACTAAATATGAAAAGTAGGTGTATTAGTCTGTTCTCATGCTGCTGTAAGGACATATCCGAGACTGAGTAATTTATAAAGGAAGGAGGCTTAATTGACTTACAGTTACGCAGGACTAGGGAGGCCTTAGGAAACTTAGAAGGGGAAGCAAACATTTCCTTCTTCACATGGCGCAGCAAGGAGAAGAAGGGGTGCTCAGAGAAGGGGGAAGTCCCTGATAAAGCCATCAGATCTCGTGAGAACTCACTCATGAGAGTGAGAACAGGATGGGGGAAACTGCCCCCATGATTCAGTTTTCTCTACCTGGTCCTTCCCATGACACGTGGGGATTATGGGAACTATGATTCCAGATGAGATTTGGGTGGGGACACAGCCAGACCATATCAGTAGGCATAGGAAGAAATAAGTGGACTTAAAAGAATTATGCCTTAGAAAAACAAAATACCCCGTAAATCAACTGGGTTTACATGAACAAATAAAAGAGGAGCTACACAAAATCCTATGTATTTAGTGACAAAAAGACAATGAAAAAAATTGTATTTTCAGTCTTCTGTCCCAAATCAGAAGTTTTAGTGCCTGTTCATTTGAAAATGACTTTCTAAAACCCATGAAGTTATTTTTAATGGGAGTCTTATTTATTAAAGATTCTTCTTGCTATCTGCAGATCCCAAACAAGATTCTTTGGTGTCCTCAGCTTGCTCTTCTCCCTTTCCTTGGTAGACTTTTCTCTTGGTCTGTACTTGAAGTGCCTCCTGCCAAGTAGGAAATGAAGAATCAGTCCATGTGCCGGGCTCAGGCCTTGCCGTTTTAGCGGCTTAATGGATGGCTTGGCACAACTAGGGAGCAATGGTATCTCCCACCCCTGAGATGGACACTGTTGCACTCAGAGTGGCCAGCAGGGTGTGGGTTGACCCTAGTAGCACATTAAGCTCAGTTCAGAGTGGCAGGAACTTCAGCAGCCAGGAGAATGTGCAAGAGCCACCCAAACTGTAGGACAAGCTAGGAATCCAGTAAAGAAGAGGGCCCTGGCAGTCCCTTTGGAATCCCTGTGACTCCTTCTTTCATTCATTCCTTCATTCATTCAACAAATAGGTGTTGAGCACTTGTGACATGCCAACTTCTGTTTTGGGCATTCAGAATACATCAGTAAACAGAACAGGCAAAGATTGATTGCTGCCTTCATGGAGCTTATGTGCTGGGGAGGGAGGCATGCAGGGAGACAGGGCACAGTGAGATCGTGAACGTCCACAGCAAACACAGTGAGCCATCCATTTGTGTGGTTTGTTATAAAATGATTACAGCTGTGGAAGGAAGGAAGAAAGGAAAGAGGAAGAGAGGGAGGGAGGGAGAAATGGAGAGAAAGAAGGGATGAAGGAGGGAAGAAAGGAAAGAGAAAGAAAGGAAAGAAGGAAGGAAGGAAGGAAGGAAGAAAGAGAGGAAGGAAGGAAGGAGAAAAGGAAAGGAAAGAAAGAAAAGAGGGAGGGGAAAGGACGAGAAGAAAGGGAAAGAAAGGAGAGGAAAAGAGGAAGGCAGGCAGGCAAACAGGCAGGTAGAAAGAAGGAAGGGAAAAAGGAAAGAAGAAAATCAAAACTACAGGGGACAGTAAGAGTCAGGGAGTGCCTGGGCCAAGGTAGGGGGAAGGGGCTTGGCTGTGACTGGAAACGGGAAGTGCCCTCTGGGCAAGGACTTGAGGAAGTGTGAGAGTGTTCCTCCTGGAGCTGTCTAGCGTGTAAGCTTCCAGGTAGAAGTAACTGACTGCAAGGAGGCCTTAAGGGTAGAGGCATGTGAGCATTCCCCAGAGTCACAGTGAGGCTGGAGGCCTGAGGGGCTGGAGCGGAACAGGTTGCAGTGGGAGAGCAAGGGGGCTTGTGGACCACAGAGGGCCTCAAGGACCACTGTAAGATGCAGTCCGATGAGAACCATTGCAGGCTTTTAAACAAAGGAGCGACACTCTGTGCCATATTTTAACAAGATCACTGGAGCCGCTGGGCAGAGAACAGACCATGAGGACAAGGGCGGAGGCCAGAGAACTGCTGGAAGTTGCAGCAGGTGAGGGAGGATGGGAGCTGGGGCCAGGTGGCCGTGGAGAGGTGAGGAGCGGTTGGTCAGTTTCTGATAAAGGTTGAAGGTAGATCCAGCATGACTCCTGATGGCTGGATGTGTGGTGTGAGAAAAAGAAGAGTCAAGGGTGTCTCCAAACTGTGGTCTGAACAGCAAGAGGGACAGACGGGATATGTGGCTGAGGTGAGGAGGATGGCAGGTAGGGACGAGAGGGGATGACAGAGCAGGAATTCCATGTGGATGCTGTAGAATCTGAGATGGATGTGAGGAAACCCAGTGGACTATCAAACAGGCAGAGGGTAAAGAGTGGTGGGCATTCAGGAGAGGTCTGAGCTGGAACTAAAACAGATGAGATACTTTGAGTCATGATTGAAATGTGGGTGAGATCCCCAGAGATCCCCAGAGATCAACAATGACGGGGCGCAGGAGAGAACCAGGGACTACACCCTGGCATCTCCAGCACTAACAGGTGGAGGAGAAGAGGAGGAACCCATAAAAGAACCTGAGAAGGAGGGACTCAGAGGAAGAGAAAAACCAAGAGAAAGACATTGCAGAAATCAAGAGAATGGAGTTTGAGTGGTCAGCACTGCATCAAATATTGCCAAGGGTTCAGGTCAGATAGGGACTGGGGTTTGAAGATTATTCCAAGTTTTATTCAAGAACTAATATAAAATATTCCATTCTGGAGTTTGCAGCCAACCTTTTTTTTTTTTTTTTTTTGAGACAGTTGCTCTGTTGCCCAGGCTGGAGTGCAGTGGTGTGATCTCGGCTCACTACAACCTCTGCCTCCTGGGTTCAAACGATTCTCCTGCCTCAGCCTCCCAAGTAGCTGGGACTAGAGGCGCGCGGCACCATGCCCAGCTAATTTTTGTGTTTTTAGTAGAGACAGGGTTTCACCACGTTGGCCAGGATGGTCTCGATATCTTGACCTCGTGATGCGCCCGCCTCAGCCTCTCAAAGTGCTGGGATTATAGGTGTGAGCCACCGCGTCCATCCCAAAGTCCTTCCTTGGGTTATGGAAGCTTATTCCCACCTTGGTTTCCATCAAGTTCGATGTCCAATGTGGTGGCAGCTGAGACTTGAGGATATGACCTTATGTGTTTACCTCTGAGCTTTGCGTACAAAATACCCCAGCGGAAGGTCCCTCACAGAGTTTGGAAAATGAAAACACTATGACCATCACATTCCCAAGCAGAATGAAAGGCAAGTTCATGAGTCAAATCACCGCATTCATAAACAGAAAGCCACCAGCCTTCAAGAAGAGAGAAGGCAGGGTTGTTCCCATTTCATGGGACATTGTTACTGTTCTACTGTTCATCTCTATAAAGTACAGATACATTCAAGTATTTTTTTCAACGCAAATAAAAGTTCTTTTCTTAAATGAAAATAATCTAAAAATAGCGATAAAGCATAAAAGAAACGTGCTGCCCTCAAATTCTTCCTGATGTTATACCATGGATCTGTTTCTCCAGGGCTGGAATCCAGTGTTTCCACCCAGCAGGGGCAAATTCCTTCACTTCCCTGGGTGTCGATGGTCTCACTTGTAGGTTGGGGATAACACCCACAGTCCTTAAGAATTTTGAGATTAAGTGGTTTGCGACTGGTAAACAGTCATGAGGATAACAGTGATTACCTGGCTTTAAACAAACTTCTGCAGGAGGGAAGTTTCTACCAAGGTTCCTTCCCTTGTCAGAAAGCTCCAAAGGCTGAACCGTGGGCGTCCCAGCTCCCAATTCCCCACCCTGATAAAACCCTGGTGTGCCCACCCCGACTCTCCCAAGTGACTCCAAAGAGAATGTTACCCAGAGGAAAGCAACTGGCTCCCAGATCTGTAGAAGGAGACCTTTCGACCTTTTCTCATCATCACGCAAGGGATTGAGGCTCTTTGCAGGATATGGATGACTCAAGGGAACTAATAGGAACAGTGTCGGCGTGTGGTTCCAATCCCATGTCTGCAGTTCAAAAACAAATGGCTGCAATCGCATTGTGTACACAGGCCTACATCCTCTTCTCTGCTCTGGGGAGAATAATAAAGGCTTGTTAAGTGCTTTCTTCTCTACCCTGGAATCAGCCTCCACCCACCTGAAAGGGAGGGAAGAGGAGGAGCCCTAACCTTCCAGAAGAAAAAGCAAACAAATTCCACCCTCCAAACCCAACCCAACCCAACCCAGCCCTGGGAAGACAGGTTCCATTTGTGTGGCTCAGCACAGAGGGACACCACCCCAGCCTCCTCCGGTTTAAGTTTATGTAAAAAGAGTTTAAAAATATGTCTGAACCTATATTACATCACCATCAGGAATAGTAATTAGTATTAATTAAAATAATACCTAGTGACTAGGGCTTAAAATGTGCCAGCTTTATATAAGGTGATTGACATGTATTCCCACTTAATTTCACAAGTATCTGATGAACTGGGCTCTATCTCCCATTTAACAGAGGAAGAAGCCAAGGTGTGAAGAGTGGATATGGCGTGCTGGGGAGCACACAGCTGGCGAATCCTGAGTGACAATGCAATCCTTGGGGTGACCTCCCTTCCCCCTCCCTGTTAAGCCCTCTCCCACTCCCCACCCCCCACCTCTACTTCATCACACACCAGCCCCACCCATACCCAGGACAGACTCTTTTTCTCTTTTCCTTCCCCTTTCCCCCTCTCATTCTTACCCTACTCCTCCAACTCAAAGAGTTAGTTGACAGCCGGGCATGGTGGCTCTCACCTGTAATCCCAGCACTTTGGGAGGTCAAGGTAGGTGTACTGCCTGAGCTCCAGAGTTCGAGAGCAGCCTGGGAAACATGGTGAAACCCCGTCTCTACTAAAATACAAAAAATTAGCCAGGCTTGGCGGCGTCCACTTGTAATTCCAGCTACTCAGGAGGCTGAGGCAGGAGAATGGCTTGAACCTGGGAAGTGGAGGTTGCAGTAAGCCAAGATTGTGCCACTGCACTCCAGCCTGAGCAACAGACCGAGACTCCATCTCCAAAGAAAAAAGAAAAAAAAAAGGTTAGTTGAAATTATCTGAAGTATTCATTCTCAGTTGTTTTGTGGTTTTGTCATTTTAGATCACATCTTATTTCAAGATTCCTTTCTTAATAATTGCATTAAGCTTTTTCATCATATTACCAACAATAACTTAGATTCAATTTTGTGTTGCAGTCACGTGCTGCATAATGGCGTTTTGGTTAACACAATCCCCCTGCATATACCACTGTGGTTCCATAAGTTTATACTGATGCTAAAAAATTATATCACCTAGTGATATTGTAGCCATCATAATGTCATAGCTCAATGTGTTACTCATGTGTTTGTGGTGATGCCAGTCATATAAAGGTATAGCACACACAGGGCCGGGCGCAGTGGCTCACACCTGTAATCCCAGCAACCTGGGAGCACTCTAGGTAGGCAGATCACTTGAGGTCAGGAGTTTGAGACCAGCCTGGAAAACATGGTGAAACCCTGTCTCTACTAAAAAAAATAATAATAATTTTATATATATATATATATATATATATAGGCTGGGCGTGGTGGTGAGCACCTGTAATTCCAGCTACTCAGGAGGCTGAGGCAGGAGAATTGCTTGAACCTGGGAGGCGGAGTTTGCAGTGAGCCGAGATCATGCCACTGCATTACAGCCTGGGCGACAAAGTGAAACGCCATCTTAAAGAAGAAAAAAATAAAATTAAATAAAAGTATAGCACATACAATTATATATAGCACGTAATACTTGGTAATAATAATAAACAACTATTTTGCTGTTTTATGGATTTGCTATACTTCTAATCATTATTTTAGAGTGAGTGTACTCCTTCCAATTATAAAAAAAGTTAACAGTAAACAGCCTCGTGCAGGTCCTCCAGGAGGTATCCGGAAGCAGATGTTGTTATCACAGGAGACGTTATTGCCCTGAAGACCTTCCAGTGGGACAAGATGCGTAGGTGGAAGACAGTGACACTGAGAATCCTGACCCATGTAGGCTTAGGCTAATGTGTGTATGTGTCTTAGTTTTTAACGAAACCATTTACAAAGTAAATAAACAAAATAAAAAATTTTAAAAATGGAAAAATGTTTATAGAATTAGGATGTGAAGAAAATATTTCTGTACAGCTGTATAATGTTTGTATTTTAAGTTATGATTATAAAAGTCAAAGTTAATAATAAAGTGTATAAAGTATAAGTTATAGTCAACTAATTTATTATTGAAGAAAAATTTTAAAATATATTTAGTGTAACCTAAATGTGGAGTGCTTATAATGTCTACAGTAGTGAATGGTAAAGTCCTAGGCCTTCACATTCATACACCACTTACTCATTCACCCAGAGCAACGTCCTGTCCTGCAAGCTCCATCCATAGTAAACAGGTGTCCCATGTTTTATGTTCTATATTGTATTTTTACTGTATCTTTTCTATGTTTAGATATGTTTAGATACAAAAGTATTTACCATTATTTTGCAATTGTCTACAGTATTCAGTACAATCACATGTTGTACAGATTTATAGCGTAGGAGCAACAGTCCATACCATATGGCCTAGGTGTGTGGTAGGCTATGCCATCTAGGCATGTGTGAGTATATTCCATGTTGTTCACACAATGATGAAATCTCTTGATGACATATTTCTTAGAATGTATTCCATTATTAAGCAATGCCTGACTGTACTTGTTTTCTGGTCATGTTATCCACAATTGTTCAGATTCATTTGTTTCACTTATATGATTGTTTCTCAGATACTTCACCTTCTTTTTCTTGAATTCCTCCTTCTGATTCATTTTGTCCATTGGGTTGATGTATTTTGTGAGTAAAAACACAGTAATCGCACATGGAAGGTAAACCATACTTTTTCTGCTTCTTCCCACAAGACAGATAGTTGGGCTGGATACAGAATTCTGGAGTGTGTCACTTTCCCTGGGATCTGTTGCTCTACTGTTTGCTACCATTTAGTCTTCTAGAGAGTGTCATGCAGCCGGACACACATTTAAACAATTTCTCTTTATCTTTTGAATTCTTAAGTGTCTTTTAAAATAAGTCCCCAAGCATTTGGCAAGCATTGTCGATCTGATGTCTTCAGTTCAAGGAAAACTTCTTGTTCCTTTGATCTTTGTTTTACCTGCACCATTTCTGTTCTCTTTTCTTGGACTCCTGTGACATGGAAGGAAAAGTCTCCTGGATCTCTTTTGGTTCCTTTCATCATTTCCATCGCTTTGCTTTTTTGTTCAGAGGCTGCGACAATGCCTTAAATTACACTGAGCCAATACTTCACATCAGATTTTAGCTTAGTCCCTTCTGCCGTTTACTGCTTCCACTCAGTTTTTCTTTTACTCTCAAAAATTATACTTTTATCTCCAGTGATTATTTTTTTAGCTCCTATTGCTTTTTTTTTTTTTTTTTTTTTTTTTCAAGTAAAAGCTCTTATTTCCTTGATAGAATAGCTTCTAAAATTTCCCTGAGGGGGGAAATAGTAGAATGATTTGTTAGATTCTCCAGGGCCCTCTCAGCTCAGTGGCCCTCCCTCAGCTGCGGATCCCATGTGCTGGGGTCTTTTTACCATCTACACATATTGATATGTGCCAGCTAAGGTGGATGAATTTGGGCAGCTAGTGTGGGCTCTCTCTGTCAGTAGTTTAGTGGGAGTCTTTGGGAGACAGCGAAGGGAATGGAATTGTGGGCAACGGCAGCGGGCATACTCCCCTTTGGGTGTGGTGCAGAGGTAGGACGGAGGCAGGCGAGATAAAGGCTGAGCTCCAATGTGCCGGGTGGCAGCTGCCACTGTGAGCCAGCTAAGTAACTGTGGAAGGTCAATCTGCAGGCCAAGGCTGGATAGTCACCTTCTGTGGGGGACAGTCTGGCAGAATTATTGAGGTTCTCTAATTAATTCTCCCACAACTGCCCCAGGTCCACCTTTCCTGACCCCCAACTCCACTTCTGGCTTCTGCACTGGTGAGATCTTAGGGCTTTCTCTGAGAGGGCACTGGAAAGTCCAGAGAAGCACATGCAAGGCCCAGCATGACAGCATTTCATGGCTGCCTGGGGCCCTTTTCTCCCACCTTTTACATCACAGCATCAGCATCGTAACTGCAGCACTGCCCTCTTCTCTTGGGGTTCCTGCTATCTGCTAAGGGCACTGCCAGGCCAGATGCCCCGAAGCACTTGGTCTAATTAAATTGATCTAATTTAAACAGGACCAGCCAGGGGTTCCGAAACTCTGCTGAGCATAAGAATCTCCCGGGGAGGGTGTGAACATACAGACGCCCAGCTGCGCCCTGCAGTCTGACTTGCACTTTCTCTTGCCCTTTCTTCCTTACTTTCCCCCTTCCCTCCCTCCTTCACTGTTTTACTTTCTTCCTCTGATCAACTCATAAATCTGCACAAAGGCCAATCTCCAAATGGTCCCTGTGAAAACACACACTTTTGCGGCTTGAGCTTCAATTGGTCTTCCTCCAGATTTTTACCACGGAAGGGGAGAGATGAAGACTTTCAGAAAATGACCAAATAAACACAACACATTCATGAAACACTTGTGTTGCCAAAGGAGTCAGTCTGCTGTGGCCAGCAGCCCACTTCAGATTTTGCCACTCCAGGATTCCTCATTCCTGCTTGCATTGGCATTACTACCAATTAATCACGATGATCTGAAAGCCACTGTGAACTGCAGAAGGATGCTGCATGTTCTAAAGACAATTCCATTCTCTCACCTAGGCTTCACCACTGCACAATTCATCCATGTTACCCAAAACCACTGTTACTCCAAAAGTACAGGGGGAATACTTTAATAGATATAGAAATATATATTATATATTATATATCTAGAAATACATATTATATATAGAAATATATATCATGTATTATATATATAAACACTTAAAGAACTATACACCTAAAAAGGTGAAATTTGCTTTATGTAAACTATGTCTCAATAAACATAAAAGAAAGAAAAGGGGCCGGGTGTGGTGGCTCACACCTGTAATCCCAGCACTCTGGGAGGCCGAGGACGGCAGATCACGAGGTCGGGAGATCGAGACCATCCTGGCTAACATGTTGAAACACCGTCTCTACTAAAAATGCAAAAAAACTAGCCCGGCGCGGTGGCGGGCGTCTGTAGTCCCAGCTACTCAGCAGGCTGAGGCAGGAGAATGGCGTGAACCTGGAAGCAGAGGTTGCAGTGAGCCGAGAACACGCCACTGTACTCCAGACTGGGCAAGAGAGCGAGACTCTATCTCAAAAAAAAAGAAAAAAGAAAAAAAGGAAAAAAAAAAGAAAAGAAAAGAAATGGAAAGTGTTCTTGGTATGCCGGGAAAGGTGGAGTAGTGCAGTTACAGAGTGGGAAACAGAGGGCATTCAAACCAAACCCAAGACATAAGAAGGAAGGCAGGCAGTCGACATAGGCACCCCAAAAGTCACAGATACACATAGCCACGGGGGTCACAGGCTTAAAACCCTAGATGACACTGTCAGGAAAGGAAAACCAGTGTTTGCTGCATGACTGCTATGTACCAAGTGTTGCCCAGTTTCACCAATTCTAATGATACTAAGATACATGCCTCGACCAAAAGAACTGTCCTTTCGTGTACTACTAAAAGCATGCTACCATTAAACCGTGATACTTTATTATTATTTAGGATTTTTGTTTTGTATGTATGAAGAAGGCTGGGCCCTATTTAGACATTCTTATATAAACACTAAATATAGGTGAAATCAATTGTTAAATCATTCCTAACATTTTCCACACTCAGGTTAACTCTTCTGAATCATGTTCAGACTTGGAATCATCAATATCCATGTTTT